AACGTCAGCTCAACTCATACCATTGTGGAAAAATTCGACTACCAGTCCTTCATCACCTTAAACGAAATTGAGTGAATACAGCTCATATTACTTATAATTAAGTTGCGATTAGGTTAAGTTTTGTTTATGAGATAAAGTTTGGCTTTATTAAACTCATTACGCAATATGATTCGTTATAGCTAATAAAAAGTGTAGATGAATATGGTATGATATTTCTTTTTTAAGTAATATATTTTAGCAAAAAATATACGTTCTTAAATGTTTTGGCTTGGGAGTGCAGACAATTTTTCATTTTATTCATTTTGCCAAACCAGAATATATGTATAGATTATTCGCCATTGGGTAGGGGACAAGGGCCAACTGACTGGACTTGAAACGGCCTCCAATAAAACTCAACGCGCAATGCGCAAATATGCGTACTACTTTCCAGTGATCTACTAGCAAATAGTTGGTCATCAAGGACTCGGTCTGAAAATAATTATTTATATAATCCTTATTTGAGCTCGTCTGTCCTTTCACAGAAATGACCCAAAGAAACGGTAGTCTTACCTTTATCGTCTCGAACGCCGGAGTACCTCTTCTCAGCTTCTTTGCCACGTTTTTCGGTATGCACTGGTACAGCAACTCATCCGTCATGCGGCGCATCTTGTCTAGACGCCTCATACTTTCCTCCATCTGCTTGCTCTTCTGTATTTGCTATAAATATATTAGGAAATAAGCAGTTGTAGACTTCAAAAAAAAACAAGGCTAGAAGTGTGGTTTGGGTTGAAAATCGTCGAGGCCTTAACCAATTTATGAGTCTTTTGTGGACGAAGCCACTCAGAGCCATCATGAGAATACCGTGAACACTGTTCATAATTCATTCAAGATGTCATTTTAAAAAGGTATAGTTCCCTTTACTTACGGCTTTATAACAAAATCATAAGATTACAGAAATCATCACTAGGTAGGTAGCAATCATGTGAAAAAGACAAACATGCCGTCCTAACGGATACCTTTATGGTCCATCCAACGATACACTTTTAAGCATAATTTCCTACCTGCCTCACAGCGTCTTTGTTAAGCCATCAAAGCAGTTTCCTTTTAGTCATTTTATTCATTACTTCAATCAAATGCCCAAACCTCGGCTCTTCCTGATTAAGAGTTCGAGTTCCGGATAGGTCGCAATCGGTTGCAGCCCGTCCTCTCTCTCTCTCTCTTTGTGTCACTGCTCCTTAAAGCTTGATTCCATAGGAAGAGAGATTGTAAATTTTTACTTAGATCAGATGAACATTTTCATCAAATCGTTTACGATACCGAATATCAAGGGTCGCTTTTTCTATCAGCTGGTGGGTCAAAACTAGAGTACAAGTTCTCTTAGCGCCTCAAAGCCTGTTGGTTGCGATGCAAACAAAACGTTTTCCTGGAGAGTCGTGTATGTATAGGCAATGATGCTGTAGCCCCTGATTTGCCCAAAATCCCCTTTCACTGCATACAACTGGCTGGATCTTGCATTCATGACTTAATCTTGTTTTCAGGTAGACTTCAAAGAATGCATTTGGTTTTGCGTCGTCTGGCGTCGGCTTCATGTCTTGATTCAACATCAGGTCGTTGAACTCACACTCATTCAGCCGTTTCTTAGGCATCAGTGTCAGCATCACCAGTGACCAGAGGCCTCCTTTGCATCTAGACAAAACTCGTTTTATTAACTATCCAAGCAAGGTTAATAGACGAACATTCTGTTGAAAGAACGCGGTATCTATCATTCTAACGAAGTGCAGCTCAATGCTAGTGTAGCCCCTGCCCACTAAAGATGTCGACTATGATGGCAGCGAAGCTCCTAAGATTGCATCTAATTCGAGATTTGATACTGAAAGAAGACATGACAACAGTGACAAAGTGCAACATACAGAATGCACTTTCCGAAGTTTGCCTGGAAGCATGGCCAAATCGGAAGAATAGGCTCAAACCAAACCTTTTCCGGAAGGAATTCGTTCTTGCCTCATTTGCGCCAAGTTAGTGCTGCCTTGGCAACAGCAGATTTGACTCTGACAATTTGTGGCCTCGGTTTGAGTCTTGACTCAAAATGGGTGTGAACAACAACTCAAGTCAAAATAAGAGGCATTATGTGATTGCGAAGGGAAGAATACAACTCCTCTCAAATGTCATGTTCTGGGGCACTAAGTTGCCAACCCACAAACTGCATTTGGCTTAAGCAAACCAATCTATTTTCCAATTCGATAATCAAAAATGAGGAGGTACTCACTTAAACAAGACTACAGTAGATACTATGCAGCATAATATTAATTTTGCAAACTGATCACCAGCTAATATCTTGTATTAAAGTGGTCTTGCAATTGAACCTGACATTTCCACATTAAACATTTTTGATTACTCCATTTAAGTGCATACAAAGAAATGTGTGAGGAGATGATGGTTTTATGTAAGTCGCAAAACGAGGAGCCGAAGACTTCTTCGCATAACCTAATAGTCACAAATCTAAGGCAACCCTCATTCGGTATCCAATTCGGCCAATATATGCATTCCTTCCAACTGGCTTTTAAGATGAAACGAACAGTTTGTTAGCATGAATCTACAAGTGTTCCGGCCTCTGTTTTTAAAAACTTGAAGTCAAATGGCACCAAAGGGTGATACATCCTAGAGGCGACCGATGAAGCAATCCACCCAGAGAGACAAGGCAGAACAGATTTCCGCCCAGCTGTTTGGGAGCAAATCATGTCTCTTTTCCACTAATACCAATACCAGATGGTTCGGAAAAAGGTCTATCGCCGAAATTTAATGCCCTTGCGGGGCATGGTACAAGCACCAATTGGCTCGGGCAAGAGAGGATAGAGGCATAAAATGATGATGAACTAATGGTTACATTTTCTCACTGTGATATGATAGAATTCGAGTTTCCGTATAATATGACAGATCCTTTTATCTCAACAGATACTTTCACAATACTGGGCTGAACTGCAATTTCGAACTCGACTGGGTCTCATCTGCATCACCCGCGGGGCTCGAATCCAATGAGTTCAGTGCATACTCGCAAAATTTTACCATAATAAATATATAAAGATAAGCTGGGTTTCAAAGAATCCCTTAGTAGATCGTAGATATGAAGAGCAGAACGGTATGACCTTCTGTTTGGTCGCAGTGTTGGTTCGATCTCGTTTCCGCAGGTATGTTTCAGGTACGTTCCATAAGGTCTTCCTGACGCAAAAACGAGGTCAAATTCCGACCCCGATGACTACGTGCTTAGATTTCGTCCGTATTATGAATGGCATCATCAGTCACAGAAACCACCATTTACAAACAATCGAATCCGCTCCACTTCATGCATCAACTTCACTCGTAAGCTTGAAGTAGGACAAACATAAAGCAGCCAACCAAATAATGTAAACGAAGATGTAAAGACCAAGATGATGTGGCTTTTGGTACGGTCGCAGTCTCCTTTAGATGTATACACATGGGCTATTCATGTTTTCGCAACTTGGTCTTGTTGTCAGAGAGATAAAACATCTTATCCGAAGTCCTCTGCTTTAGTAGTTATCATAATTCCCAGCTTCAGACTCTGGACTTGTTGCATTCCCAAAGGTTTCACGGCATCGTCAGCCCCAAGCTACAGCTCGGAAAAAGACAAGTGAAATCCCTCCCTTGATCAGCGTGGATTTCCAGTCAATTGGGCTCCCAATTTCCGTAATCGTCAGGCCCCCAAAGTTCTAGTTATTTCTTAGAGCAGACTTCATTGAGATCGTCTTCACTTGATTTCCGAAACTTCTTCACTCTCTTCTTCCTTGCGCTTCCTTTTCCTCTGATTAACAATATGTGCTTGATCCATGGGTCGTATTTTTGCTGGTCTTTCCATATCCTTGGTTTCTCCGTGTTTCCTTGCTCAATAGGCAAACTCATCGCTAAATCTGCCTTCCTCTAATCTCCTGTTGATTAGACTTTTTTCCCCATGTGTGTCAAAAGCCTCCCTAATATACCGTTTTCTTGTGTCTCCACCGGACCAGGCCCATTCTCCCGTTGCCTTTTAATTGGTCTCATGTCCAGTCTGTGCGATGTGTTCCCCTAATTCTGATATTTTGGTATCCGTTTTTCTGCAGAGCCCTTGATGTTCCTTGATTCGTATGCTGATTTTTCTCCATGTTTTGCCGATATATTTCTGTTTGACTTCATATCTTTGATTAAGCTACGGCATTGAGATTGTCAGATAATGAACTGAATACAGCATGACAAAGAAGGCAATTGTAAGTCTATCACGCTACCTGACCTTTTTAAAATGTTCAAAATGG